TTCCCATTGCTTTGTTGTCGAGGGAACCCATGCGCAGTTTAATTCCGGGTAAATACGTCATCCCTGCAGGGCCAGGCATAAGGGGATATTTTAAGAACTAAGATATTCTTAACAACCAAAATGTTGACTATGAAGTCAAAATGGCAAAAATGAAGTCAAAGGATATATTTGTTGAGAAGAAAGTTGAAATGCAAGGCGTAAGAATATATTAATCTACACAGAAAGACACTTATTTCTTGCATTTTGAGAGTAAAGTGAAAATAGCACTTCTAAATGTAGAGGATGAATTGCACTTGTTCTTTCATATACTGAAAGTTTGTCTTAATTCTCAATATGTCTCTCATCCCCTTATACCTGCCTTAATAGCCTTTTGTGGAGGTTACAAATGGACGTGTGTTTGATGTTTCTGGAGGTGTTTGCGAGAAACTTTAAGGACACTTACCCTCGGACCCTTCTTGCCCAACAGGCCGGTCTTCCCCGGAGGTCCAGACAGTCCCTGAGGAGAGAAAAGGCAAACATAAGATCTTATTCAACAGCCAAACAATTATTTTCCTATCTTACGTTATTAAAACCATCAGGTCATTCAGACTCCTCTGTGGGCTGCACCGACAGGCTGCACAGTGGCTGAAGGGTTACAAAAGAAAGCGACACCTCTGAAGTCATTCCGCCTCAAGGTGATAAGATTTCAGCCTTATCCATCAGGAAGTTCTTAGCCTGTGTGGCAGGAAACCGTAGCAACACTAGGAATAACAGGTCATTTCCTGCGCCACTCAATGGCCCTGTACTCATTGCGTTTTTTTTTTATCAAAAAAGAGGAAAAGTGAGAAGTGAGGATAAACAGAGGCTGCTGAGGCAAACAGGAGCTACCTGTCCTCTGCTCCTGATCTGAAGCATGCCCAAGCCTTGGAGCGGCTGTTTTCAAATGCTTCCTTCACTGTACATTCAAACCTTTATTTAAGTAAAAGTACTAAGTCATTATATAAAAAATGCTCTACACATAAAATTCTCACTTGAGTAAAGGTACGATCAACCACATTTTGTAAAAGTACCAAAAGTACTGATTCTGCAGACAAATTGCCTCCATTATGTGATATATATAAAACAAAAAATGGATACACAAATGATTCATCTTTATGACTTTCTCTATTACGTTATTTGAATATATTGTTTATCTTTTATATTTTCGTACCTCAGACACCACTGGTTTATTCTTTAGAGATTATTATTGAAATATATTACATTATCACATTGTCAGGTAGCATTTGACTGTTGCAGACATTATTCATGTTTAGGACTTTATTACATTTTCTCTAATATTTGTACATTTTCGACTTTTTGTACTTCAAATATTTCACTGGTTTATTATTAAGAGATAGGAAAAATAACTGAAGCTGTGAAATAAGTGGGGAAACATTTTTAATATTTCCGTTTTAAATCTAGAAGTATAAAGTCTCATTTAAATGACTAGAATATGGTTTATTGCAATTATTTCTGGGAAGAAATATTGTCCAACAAATGTAATAATCGTGACAGGTCGGAAATAGCTTTTCAATCCACACACCCTACTTAGTTGTGAAATAACTCAGTGTGAATCTCTGTTTTCATCCTCATACTGTTGGTTTGTTAAAGCTTTTACTGTAAGTCCGTATGAAAATGGATACGATCTGACTGTTGGAACATCAGAGAGAGGCAGCAACATTGACCAAACGCTCAATGACCTGGTTATTTAAAGCACAAATACTTCAATAATATTCATGAATAGAGTACTTGAGTAAAGTTACCTAGTTATTTTCCACCACTGTTTGTACTCTGCTGTTAAATCCGATGCCTGAGATAACATGGATATGAGGATCTGGTAAAAAGCAGCCCCATCTTCCATAAAGCTCACTTATTGTAGTGAGAAACGTTTACTCTGTCTGTCGTTGCCTCAGCTCATTTTTCACAAGGCCATGAACTTTAAGAGACAAAAGCAACTTCAAAACGACCCGAGTCTGAAGGTTAGTGTGATCGCAGCTAGTTTATCACTGAAGATTATAATTGGCCCTCACCATCTCCTCTCGGTCGACCTCCATGGCGGAGACCACCACTGATGTTACAGGTGGCGTAAAGACCCCTCAATACCAACACACACTGTCCATCATCACACTTCCACCCCCGGTCACACACCCCCGTTTGTTTGTCTGTTTATTTCAACTGTCTCTTTGCATCTGTCCATTAAAAACATATTTCTTTCTTTCGTTCTTTTATTTTATTTCAACGTGGCTTGTACGGTACTTTGACATGCAATACATTATACAGGAAATACTATCTAAACTTCCTACAAACTTCCAACAGTTCAAATGCAATAAGCTTCAAAGGGTCCCTATTGCGCTTTTTAGGGGGGTTCACTTTCCTGAGTGTTCTATAGGTTTCTGTGCATGTAAATGGTCTGCAAAGGCCAAAACCCATGTGCTCCCTCCAGATGGAGTTTCTCTCCTACACTCCCCCTATACACTCCAAAATCTAAGTTATTTGTGTTGTTACCTGCTGGAAAACACACATATTTTTGGGGGTTGTCCCCACAACAAGTCACACAGGGAAGGATTAACACAGAAATACTTATACGTTATAATATAGAAGCAATAGCAGTTCGAAAGGCTTACTTGCAACATATTTTTTCATTGGTGGTCAAATAATGTAACTAATAAAATAAAAAAGTATTCCACAGGAAAAATAACAGCTAAACTTCAAACATATTTTGATTGTGTTTATTTTTTACATTTGGAGCAGAAATGCTGCTATGATTGATGATTATGTTTAAACTGTGAATAGATTTTACTTCTTTTTTTTTAAATCCTGGAAAAGCAGCTCAAGTGTACAGAGTAAGAATACACTTTTTTTTCTCCAAAAAACAACAACTAGAGAACACAGAGTGTACATTTTCAAACTCCCCTATAATCTCTTTTGCCATAATTCTAAAGAAAACTGCTTACAAGATCTTATTGTGGCAACATACCCAGGCAGTCTGAGGCTACAACTGAACTGAACACAGAAGCTTGGTATTTGAATCAAATTTAAACTCACTTCTAGTGCAGATTCAATTCAAAATGTAATCGGATTCAAATCCCATCCCTCACTTTTAGCAATCACGAAACGAGTTCAGGACACACTGGGGAGCTAAAGCTGCTTCAGATGTGGAAATGTTCCAAATCTGAGTCTAAAATAATGTTTCTCCTGGCACCGAGGTGCAAAATCTGCACACTGGAAACAAGAGACCAAAGTCTTTCAGAAGAAGGCTCGTAATGCTTTAGGCAGCAAGAGTGATGAGGGATAAAGCTATTGGCAGAAACTCAATGAACATAAGCTTTCGCTGACTTTCATATTTGTGAAAATGTGTGTGTATGGATGAGAGTGAGTGTGTTTGTGATAAGGATTGAGAGACAGAGTTTTCACATGGCATGTGTGTTTTTGAAATTCAAACTATGTTGAAAAGGAAGCATGACTGAGTTCATCGGGGATCTCCAGAGGCACACCATGGCAACACACACACATGCTTACAAATGCACACACTTTGACAGGAAGCACCTGTTTAATCCCTGATATCAGAATCAGAACCAGAATGTGTATGTGTATTGTAATCATATGTATTCTCATCATAAGTCCATATGTGAGCCTGTCAAATGGCAGTATTTAAATCAGAGCCCAGACGTAAAGCCTAGAACATTTATACAGATTCTACAGCACATGCTACGTTTAGGCAGTTTTGTGTTTTCAGATTGGTTTAATTTACAATACCATTTAGGTGTAAATTACAAAGTTGTTTGGCCAAGGGCCTAGGATCAAATGTAGGGGGACGCATGAATTGCTGGGTCTGTTGTCCCTGCCCCTACACATTTGAGCCTCAAACCCTTAATTTCCTGCATTATGGTGACTGTTTATGAATGAATATATGGTCTTTTGTCAAGCAAAGGAAAACACTAAATTCAAGAGGCATGCAACAATTTAATAATATATTAGAATATAGTGAAGTAAGGCTCTAAGGCAGGAGTGTCAAACTCAATTTCATCGCGGGCCACATTAACATTATGGTTGCATTCAAAGGGCCGGTTGTAACTTCAAGACTATGTAAAAATAAATTTATAAATATTTAATATGAAATTAAGTATTATAGTACATTATTGCCTCTTCGTTGGATCATTTTCGGATAGGGTAATTACTTCAGAATTAACTAAGTCTGAAAGAAGAAGTCTAGGGCAAATAATTGCAAGTCTTTTCAGTGAGAATGTCACAAAATGATTTAAAAACAAAAGCCAAATTCAGGAAAAAAAAGGAAGTGACATTTTGAAAAAAAAATGAACATTATGAAAAAAAGGCAAATTCTGAGAAAAAGGCAACTACTAAGAAAAAAGGCATATTTTGAAGAAAAAAAAGTAATATTCTGAGAAAAAAGTAAAATTTGAGATGCATTGTGGGACATGTATTTTATGGGCAACGTGCTTCTGTACTGTAAATCATCATGTAACCGTATAATAAACATATTATATTCTTTGCAAGCTCTTGTGGGGCCACAGAAAATGAAGTCACGGGCCGGATTTGGCCCCCGGGCCTTGAGTTTGACACCCCTGCTCTAAGGCATCTCGTTTTGCTCTCAAATATGTATTCTCCTGTAGATCATCTCGTACAGCATAAGAAACACTTTATTTCCCTTTTTGTTTCAGGAATAAGTTATTTGAATGGGCATATGGAACCTATTCTCAATGAAACATACATTTCTATACTGTCCTGGATTTTATTCACAGATATGATTTTTTTTTTTAGGGAGATTTTGACAAGGGAAATTCAGTATTTTCTGAACATCCCAACCAACTCTAAGCCCTTGGTGTCAGACAGTCCTACAGTAAATGACCTTCTAACGTCCCTACATAATCATCCGTCTACAATCTCTTCTCTGTGTTAGAGTACAGCACCTCATATTGAGATTACAGGTAGTGCTTTCTAGATGGCAGTAATTTAGTTCAATGTAATGACAGTTAAGTTTGGCGTGGACATAAACATAGAGGTACGTTAGCCAACCCTTAACACAAATTACAGACTACTACAATAAATAAGCAAAGAAAACAAGTATCAAACACACAGGCGCTGCTCACACCTCACACTGAAATGACTCAATCACCAGCATTAAATGCAACACACCCTGAGGTGACACTGGGCACACCTCACACCTTGAAATGACTCAATCACCAGCATTAATGCAACACACCCTGAGGTGGGGGGGGGGGGGGATTAGTCAGGCCTCATGCAGACAGGAAGAGTTCTGCAGACAATATGTACTGTAAAGCTTAAACAAGTTAAAAATCACAAGCACAGTGGATTTGTCAATGACAAACAACTTGGACAACTTTTTTAGCTCCATATCTGCCAGCAAGATCTCAACAAAGTCCTTTATTCCTCTCTTTGGCCAACAAATGTGAGTGTGTATGTGCCTTTGCTCTCTTAAGGAGTTCAGTCAATATGCAATTGGATGCTAGGTGTGAAAATGGAAAGGGTGAAAATAGACCTGCCTCAGTTTTTCCCGCTCACACTCATTTACTATGAGCCTGGTCTACTTTTGCCTTGGGAAGCTGAATGAATGATGGTGTTTACCGACTGCCTTGACCCTTGAACTGGCTTTGAAAGAGGGCCATGATACCTCCACCAGCCCTCTAAACAAGAGGAATCTGGTGCAGAGACGGCAAGGCGTCAGAGCTGACACGTCACACCCAGCCTGGAGGCTTCTGAACACAGAGGAAGAGGAGGGAAGGGAAAAGTAGGTTTTCTAACCTGTGTGGGAAAACAGATAGTGCCACAATAACCTACATATCTCTGTGGTCTCCTATTTCTAGCAACAGACCACGAGAATTAAACCTGCTCTTTCACTGGCGACAAAGACCAGCACAGACTGGGAAGTCACTAATGGAGCATATTTCACTCACTTTAGCTACAAACCATTGAACATAACCGCCACAACTGACAAGCATAAACAGCCAAGATATGTTTCCTTATCCTGATTTTGCAGAACTTTTAGTGCAACAGGCAGGCTAATAAACAGAGCCAAGAAAGGATACTATACTCAGGGGCGGTGGGTAATTAAGGCTAAATTATTGGTCCCTTTATCATTGTGCAGTACATATAAAGAATACAATTTGCTGATGTTCCCTAAAAGCCAAATTGGAAGACTACTTCTACGATTAATTATGTCCAGCAACTCCAAATTCCAGCCTGTAGTATAAGGCTACGGTTTCATAGTCAACAAATAAATATACTAACCAGACAACTCATAAGAACGTAGTACTATCAGAGCGCTAACTATGTTTTAAATTCTGTCAGAAAGAGAGACTCATAGAAAAATCTGTAGAAGCATCTTTTTTGATGTTTAAAACCAGTATAATCGTTGGTAAAATATTAGCCTTCCCGATCCTGAGCCTCATCTGCCACCTATGACTATATTGCATCACTCTTGTTAGCTTCAGAAACTATTTATTCTATTTCTATTCTATTTATTCTCTTTTTAGTTGCAAGATTTCTGTTTACCATTAGGCACATTAGGCTACATCTTTAAAGCATGTACTGTTAGTTAGATCCAAAAAAACAGGAACTCAAGCCATGTATGCTCTGATGTAAATTGACTTCATTCTGGTGGCACACACAGACAAAGGTTAAGAGGTGCTTACCGGCGGGCCTGCGTCTCCTTTCTCTCCCATAAGACCCTCCAGCATGGAGAACAGAGTAGGGGGCACCTCCCAGCTCAGGAAGCCATCGGTAGCAGGGGGTGTCACTGGGTTGTCCGATGGTCTGGTTGGTCGCACAATGACTGTAGCCTTGGTGGTTTTGGATTGTTTCGTTGGTTTGATGACCTGTTTGGTGACTGGCTTGGAGGTCTTAGCAGTTGTAGTTTTGGAGACTGTTGGTTTTGAGGGGTTGACTTTAGGTTTCGTTGGTTTAGAAGGGACAACTTTGACAGGATTAGTTTTGGGTTTCAACGGAGTGGCTTTGGATGGAGTAACTTTAGGCTTGGGGGGTGTTTTCTTGGCCGTGGTTGGTTGGGGTTTCTTTAGGACTGTACCTTGGTATGATAGGGTAGAATCAGGTTTTATCTTGGAGGGTTTGGTGCTGGTAGTGGCTGGAATAGTAGGTTTCTTATTGTCCGTTCCTGCAATCATCTTTTTGGAGGGCTTTGGGGGAGTTGGTTTGGTGGGTTTCTGAGTTAAGACTTTAGAGGTGGTAGGGTTTGGCGCTTTTGTTGGGGTTGCTTTTGTCCTAAGTGGTGCTGTGACAGTTTCGGTCCTGCCCTTGGGAGGCGGGGAGGCCAAACCAAGCTGGACTGTAACTGGCATCACTGTCCCCAGAAAGGGTGTAGGAATGGTCCCAGTGCTGGGCTTTATTGTTTGGGTGGGGGCCACATATCTTACAGCCGATGCAGCAGCAGCGACACTCCTAGCCAGGCTGATCCCGGTGGTCTTCTTGGGCGTTTCCGGGCCACCACGTTTAGGGGTAGCAGCGGTAGCGGTGACGTTTTTACCTTGTGGAAGGATAGGTAACAAGGGAGGAAGGTTAGGCCTGTATGTGTCTGCTTCCCTGCACTGTTTCTTAATGTACCTGCAGTAGTTGTGAGCTGCCTCTGCAGAAGGGACCAGATCAAACTGGCAGATGGCTCCTTCAAAGTGAGCCGAGGCTTGCTGCTGGCTGGTCCGCCCCAGCAGGAAGGAGCCCTGGAGCTCCGGAGCCAAACCCTCCTCACTGTCCCACCCAAAGTCTGCATGGACGATCTGCTCTCCGCAGGAGGCATAAAGAGTCACTCTCTGTCCATTAATTCCCACCGCCAGCTGGTGCCACTGGCCATCGTGGGGCTCGTAGGGCAGTGACACCGAGGTGTTCGGCCCTGTGTGGAGGACCAGGTTGCTCGGTGTGAGCTGCAGACCCAGAAGGAGCTTCTTGCGGCCTGAGAGCACGGTGAAGAGGAAGGCACTGTTGAGGCGGTGCGAGCGCACACTCAGCACCAGGGCCAGGCTGGGCCAGACGGCCGCTGGGAAGACTGAGCGCAGGGGGGATTCAATGTGCGCCCGCTGGTTGAGGATGATCCCCGATCGGAACGGAATGACCCCTGCTGGCACAGAGCGCGACGGTTTCTCTCCCTTGAGCCCCAACTTTTGGAGGATGTCCACATCTGGATAAAGAAGAGAGGGATGTTAGACATGCATGTTTCTGAAGGTTACACATCATTGCAATTAGAAAAAACTGAATATGAAGTGATTTTAAAATGTATTTTAAGTTTTAAGATATAATCCTTCACTTCAATTCACATCCGTTTTGTTTATCTTTAATCATTTTTTCTTTTTTAAATGTATTTTTATTTTCTCACTGTACAGAGGTGAAAATAATTCCTGCCTTGATCAAAAACCTAGAAATACACTATTAGGAAATACGTAAATTCTGTACTTCAATATAGACATTTGAGCAACAATTTCACAAAATAAATAATGTTGAGCAAATATTATTGAGACCAATCATGTCAAAGAAACATTTTAGACATCTTAACATTATTAACAGGACATTCTCGACTCATTGTGAGATTAAGCTCTTATTGTAACACGTGAGACGTTGACTACTCTTCTTTGACAACACTGGTTTATAAGCCAATTTCAAATATATTACACCAATGTATTTCTTCTATCAGAACGGACAGGCGTGGCAGTATCACCGCCATACATCAGGTCTGACTGGTTTTTAGCCAACACAAACAGCAGTTCACAAAGTAATGGAGCTTAGACACAGCAGGGTGAACAGATGGGGGGGTGGGAAGGATGGCTGCAGCAAAAAAAAGGAATAGAAAGAATAATAAACTCAGTGGGTATGAGACTACCAAACTGCTTCTGTATGCTGTCTAGTGCAATTTTAGGGAAATAAATAAGATTATGAATAGGTCTATACGGACATAAAACTGTGCTGATGATAGGGGGGTAAGGAGTGACCTTGGATGGGCAGAGGTGCTGTGGTGGCCTTTGATTACAATGTCAGCGGTTTGCTGCCTGATGCTTTTCTCCAGCATGGCACGTTGACCATATGACTCTCGTGAAGCATAACACAGCCTTCCTAAAACAGATGTCCTCAGAATAGAACATGTTTATTGCTGTACATTCTTTTTCTTAAAGCTGCTCAGCCCCAAAATGCTATTCAAATACGGCCATATTTTAACAGCTCAAACGGTATATAAATTCATTTGAAGTTGTAAAGCCAAGCCAAACCAAAGAGTTATGGTTCCAAACGTATGATCTTTAATGATTTTGCCTTCCTGTCTTTGGTTGTTGTATTGGTTTTGATGTAAGATTAAGTTACTTAAGAGGAATAAATTCATGGTCTATAAACTTTATGTACATTGTTGTTTTTTGCATACAGCAGAAAATAAATGAAACATGAACACGAGAAACAATGCAAAGTGAGGCAACAGCTATTCACTACTCGCAACTGATAATCAAGTATCCCCATGTAAGCCACGCTGCAAGACAAAATGTGTTAAGGTTAAAGCAGACAGAACCATGAAGGCTAAAATCTTGCTATAGGACGTCCTCCTCTCTAAGTACCCATCTGGACAACTCAAAGGGGAAAGAGAAACGGTTGGATACTGAATAAAGCTCACAATATGCCTTTGTGAATTGTTAGTCACAAAGCTTAGCTTCTAAATTCCAAATGATAAAACGTCCAGATTATTAGAACATCAGATTGATGTACTGTATATTTAAAGGGGCCCAATTATTCTTTTTGGGCTTCTCCCTTTCCTGTACTGTGTTTTATAGTGCATGTAAATGGTCTGCAAAGGCTAAAATCCCAAAGTTCAGGGACATAGTGACATAACTAACACTCGTGCTTCTTCTGGATAGCGCTCCAACACATTGTACGTGATAGGCTAAGGGGCGGGAACTCTCTAATGGCGCATTTCCACTACAGCGTGGGGCGCTGTTTAAGCGTGCCGTGCCCGGCCCGTTTTTGGTTGCGTTTCCACTAGGCGTAGATTCGGCTAGCGGGTATTTTTTCACAGTTTTCTGGCTCTCCAAAATCAAGGTTCTTTCCAGGCCAACAATCGGGCTGAGTATGCTAAACTAGTGAAAGAATCGCTGGCAACTAGAATAGAATAGAATTCCTTTATTGTCATCGCACCAGGTACAACGAAATTTAAAAAGCAGCAGTCCTCGCAGTGCATTTCCACATAAAACAAATAAATTAGGGCCGGGACTTTAACGCGTTAATTAAGATTAATTAATTACACAAAAATTAACGCATTTTAATCGCACTTATTTTTGCACCGCGGAACGTTTCTCACTGGATGAGTTTCAGGGGTACCGATTATACTGGAGCACCAACTAACGTTCATTACTTCAGACAACAACAAACCACAGTGAACAATAGTCAAACATGAACGAAGAAGCTGATGAGACCGCTTTGGTTGGCCCCGTGGATGGGACATTTTGTTTGAAAAAACAGACAGATGGAAGCGTCGATAAGAGCACGGTTGTTTGCAAATTATGCAAAAAGGAATTTGCATATCACCGCAGCACATCAAGCCTCAAGTATCACCTCAATGCAAAACATATAGCAGCTAGCGTGGAAGCTAGCGTGGACGTTAGCCCGACTCGGAGTACAAGGACCCACACCCAATTACTTGCCCTCAGAAATCGGGAGCATTTCAAAATGCAAAATGGGGGGGGGGGGGGTGCTAGTGGATCGCTGGAGCTGTTAGATTAACGATTAACATGCTTATTGTAGTTGTAAGTGCACTGCCTTGC